ACACACACACACACACACACACACACACACACACACACGCACACTCATACAACACATAAAAAATAAAAATAAAAGCAGACCTCTTATTCAGTAGCCTGACTTTCGAGCTTCATCTGGAGCTGAGATCATAGACTTCAGCATTAAGAGCATCAATATGAGGGTCATGATAACAGCCGACAAGGACGAGATGGACCACACTGCAGGTATTTGCTGATCTCATGATAGCTGGAAATTATCGTTTCACCCACATCTTACTACTGTACGTAAATTCAATCTGACACTTTAGCAGGTCTGGAGAACTGAAGATTTCAGTCTCTCAGTCCGACTACAGTCAGTCCACCATTCCTGTTTATAGTTGTCCTGATTTGGCAATAAAACTACCTAATAACCTTCAAACACAATGTATCCCTTCAATTTCATTCCAGAGGTGCAAATAGATTCCAAGGACAGAGGGAGACTAGCACAAGGGGTTCTGTGATGAAAGGAAAACTTCACTTGATGGAATAATGCGCATACCAAAATTATGACAGCTATGCAATCTATGCTCACATTTGCTCATAAATCACAGGATTAATAAGCCATTTAGGGAATTTGTCAAAATAAAAAGCTCTGGTGCTGGAATTGGATGCAAATAACAAAGCAGTTTAACATAAATATTAAGCTAAACTACTGGTGTGTGTGTGTGTGTGTGTGTGTCATTATCGATTGCGTCAAGTACAAAACACAATTCATCTTTTTCAAACCTTATATTATTTGTCTTTCTTCAAAGCTTAAGTGAACAATAGTAATTAATAATGATATTAATGTTAATTGGCAAATAATTGACTGAACCTCTGTTGCATGTCAAGTGTTTGACATTTGGATCAAAGATGAATCAAAAAACTGTTTGGTTAATGTTTAAACAAATTAATTTGACTGTAAATTTGACAAAGTGTGATCAAAAACCCTCTGATATAAAAAAAATCCAAAGCACTGCAGCAATGCAATCAGGAAACATTTTCATTCCCTCATCACTTTAACATCTCAATAGCTAAAAAATACAACATCAGAGAGCTTCGTGCTGAGGCTGCAGAGACGCGGGAGCAAGCACTGCCTGCAAAATGCTCTGGGGAAGAGCATGGTAAACCAAGATCTGATTATGCAACCTAGTGCCCACAACATCAGAGGAAATAATCATCAACCTTCTACACAGCTCAAAGTAACGTCCTCGATGACAGCTCCATTGTCTCTGGCCATGTAACACACTCATTCACAAATAACCTACACAAGTTAAGATGAAGGGATGCTTGTTGCAGCATGTGTGATAATGGCATTGCATATATAAACATGGATGCGATTTCTGCATGCTGACAACAGGCCAAGGATGCTGCTGCCAAAATAAATTATGCAACATTGTGAATATCATAATTTTAATGGGTTTTTTATTCAGCCGTTAAGTTTTACAAACCTTCACTGTCTCCATCCAAACGGTCTAATTCAATTTGCTTCGGCACTAAGAAATGTTTACAGAAACTGTTTTTATGCATTAAAATGTTTTAGTAGTACAAAATCATCTAGTTAAATATTGTTCTTCAATTTGTATTGATGTTTCAAACTAATTAAAGATCAGAAAAAATAATATATTTAGTGTATTCATTTAATTAAAAAAAACTGTGGATTGCATTAAACATTTTACATTTATCTGGCAAGAATAGACGTTGGTCAAATTGGTAAAAATTTTTATTTTAAAATAGAAATCATCCATTTAGGCCATTTTAAATTATGCATCAACTTTCTATATAATTCACGAGTAGAGGTAGGTTACTTGTGAATTATACATGGATCTTAATATTTGTGTTGGAACATAATGAACTAGCCCTGAAGGTTTGACATGAATCATGCATGTCACGAAGGCCAACTCCGACATGCTCACACTTTAACACTTAGTTTATTTACACAGCTCAAATTGTCTAACACTATAATTCAAACTGCCATCTCTAAGCCACATAACAAATCCACTGAGACTCTAGCAAACACAAGGAATCAAACCTCCTCACAAGTCAAGCGGACCCACTGGCCTCAGTTTTAGAGATCTACAGCAATCCTGCTCAGAGGCCAAGGGATTTCAGAGGTATTGTTGAGATCTTGTGCAAAGAATATCAAACAAGAATGAAACGCAGACAAACAGTGAGACAAAGTCTTAGTCATGGTTGCCACCTTAATATCAAAGTATCACAATAGAACCTGACAGAGAAAATCACAATGTGTTTCACACAATGAAGGAAAACTGATATAGATCTTTAAGGAGAAAGCATCATGCTGTACATCTTCAAGGTTGAATTGCTGGGAAATGTGCCCTCTAAACTTACATAGACAATGCTGCAAGAGAAAAAAAGCCCATAAACAAGGGATACTATTTAGCCTTCTTTGAAATCATGTTTGCCAAGTTAGTGAAGAGCACAGTCCTTTGGGTCAATGATTCAATTCAGTGAGTAACAAAGGTATTTTCATGGTGTTTGAGCGAGACTAGAAATGCAAGAGAAAGACTGGGTCGTCATCAGGGTGGGGGGGACAACTGAGAAAGTCCCAGGCCCTGTGACAAAAAAGCCCATTGAATACCCTCTATGGTATAAACTACTCACTGGACCTAGGCAAGTAGTCAGATTCAAAAATAAAGGAACTTTTGAACTGATTCTTTTTAGTGAATCAGAAATTAGCACAAAATTTCTCCTTACAAATATGCCTAATTCCATACTATGCAGTATGTGAAAAACCGTACATGAAAATGGTAGTATGTCCAAATTCATAGTATTTGAAAAACAGCTGCCCAAAAGTACCTGGATGACCTATTACCTCCAATGAGAATCTGAAATACACATTCAACGGACACTTTATTTACTTTTTTTGAATGACAATGAAGCAACGGCAATGATGCTGAAAGGTCACATGACAATGGCAATATGGCAGAGACAGTACGTCCAAAAAGGCAAGTTACAGATTTGAATCAGGCTGAAATAAATCAGAATGATTAAAAAATAGAATCAAATCAAATGGAAATTGGAATTGAATCAAATAAAATCAAGAGTCAAAATTGTAATAAAATCTGTAAAGATACCCAGCTTTATTTTCAAACAGGTTTTCTGAACAATCACCTTCTCTGTCATTGGTCGGTTAAACAGTCCCACTGCAAACTATGCCTTTGGTTGAGCCAATATTGCCATGTTCAAGGATATTCTTATCACATGTTTTACTGAGATACGAGAAATCCCTTCAACACTGGGGAAAAAAATGACAGACTTCAGCTTTAATAGGAAAATGGCCCAAATAATCAATGACAACAAAGCATAAAAACTAAATGTCTCCTTTTGAGCGATTCCCGAAATCCCTAAGAGAGCCACAGACTCCTAAAATAACACTTCTGCTGCACTTCAC